TATTGAAAAAGTATGAGTGTAATTCAAATCAAATGCAATTAAGTTGTAAATGGTCTGCGAAATACAATTTTAAAAATGTTTGTCTTCGGATACAATCAAATTCTGTACATTATTAATAATCAATAAAGTTGATGAATAATATGGTATATGACCACTGATGAAATTCCTTTCATTGCATTTCTGATACACTGAAGAATCTGAAGGTTTTCCACTAGAAAGAGTAATCTAAATATATAAAATTACTTGTCCTGACTGACTGACTTAGTCACTGATTCATCATTGCCCAGAGCAAACCGCTGAATCTAGAGGTGAAATTTGGTACATAGTTAGGGTACGTCATGGAAAGTCACACTAAGAAGGGATTTTTCGAATTTCCCAAGCAGGGAGAAGAGGGAGAGCATTAAGGCTTAGCCAGAAAAATGGCTTTTACTGTATTATTTTAGATGCAATTTGTTGCTTTTAACTGCGTTTTAGTAGGGTACGCAATGGAAATGCACACCAAGAAGGAATTTTTCGAAATTCCCCAGCAAGGGGAGAGGGAGAGCATTAAGGCTTAACTGGAAGAACAGCTTCTACTGTACTATTTTAGATGCAATTTTTTGTTTTCAACTACGTTTAGTCTTCATTAAGTACTTAGGTGTATTATAACATTTCAGACATTGTTATAAATATTTTTATATATTTCGATTTTTTAATCAAATGTTCGAACCGTTTTAAATTCAAATTTGTTATTGCACATTGGTTCAATTATAGAACGATTGTAAACATTCCAGAAAATTGATCAAATTGAAAATAGTTTGTTTGATTCGCAGCAATTCTCATCATTCTCAGAGGTAGGTGTTATATAACAATTACTATAGTTGTTGAAATACCGAATATAAAAGGGGTTTGCTTGCAAAACCTCCACAGGTGAAGTAGCGGGTAATAGCTAGTTTTATCTATAGTTGTTCTCCACATTTCAAAGTCTAGGGGGTTTAAATGAGGGTTCATTTGATACTTCTTCCAATATTTTCTGGTATGTACAGAGCTATTAATTTGGGACCAATTACTTGTTTCATGTGAAATGTTTCACATGTGTTTGCCAACTATTCCTCTATTAAGTTTAACTTATTTCTAACAAACTGTTCAAAAATTATAGTATTTTGCCACCGGGATATACATATGTGCCACCCTGTATGTATTGATGTTTGAAACAAATTCAGAAGTTAATCCAGAAAAAAAAAATTAGAAAATCATAAAGAATACAACAGAAAATTTGTTTTCTGAAACCGTGTTTTCATATTTATTGACTATTGAACACAAGACTGTGTTATTATAAATAATACACATTCACAGTATATTGAAAAAACAAATATTTGTTTTTTCAATAGGTTTCAAAAAATTAGGTTTAAAAAAAATCAACTGAATAAAGAGGAAAATGCCAAGTGTTTAATTAATAACATAGTCTTGTGTTCAATAGTCAATAAATACAACAGAAAATTGTCTAAAAAAATATTACAATATTAGTAAATAAAAAGAAAAGCAAAAATTTTGCAAATGAATGTTTTAAGGATCCAATGGAAAAATGTTGTAATGGAAGTTCATGAAAAAAAAAAAATCTTTTCAATGTCAAAATGAATGAGCCCTTAGATTTATTATTAGCTCAAAATCATTTTGAAGTTATCCCATTGGAAATCAAATTTTGAAAACAAAAATCAATTATACAATTCTATTAAAAAAATACTGTACTGAATACTTTTATGAGTGACCTTACAGATTCTAATAGGCAATTATTATTTAATAGTTTTAGTTACCCTTATTTTTATATAATTTCTGATTATAAAAGTATAGAACAAACTTTTCTTATAAATATATTTTTTAATATTCCTGATGTTTCCATAGAGATATAAGTGCACACAGAATAAACTTTTATCTGTACGAACACTTTTTTTGGAGTCAGTATTCATGTAATTAATCTAGAATTCCTCATTGAAATTTACCCTAAATACTTTCATTAATATTTAAAATAATTTTAATGCAAATACTTTGGAGTTTCTTAATTGATAATTTTAAATAATAAATAGTTATTTAAAATTTTTAATGATATCATGAGCTTTATGTTCCTTATAATGTACCTTGTTAAAACATAACATATTTAAGAATATGAAATGAACAATTTTGCAAAATATTAGATTCAGAATTATATTATTATAGCAGATAAATTTGTTAAGGCATTTATTTGCCAAATAATGAATTTAAATCCCTATTTCTGTTGGCCTATTTTTAGGAATTACCATTACAGTTTGTGTGCTACCTTTAAGAAAAATTAATTTTTAAATAATTAATACTTAAAATTAAAAAATAAAATTAATAATTATTATTAACTAAAAAGTATTAACTAGGAAAATTTAAACATTATTTAACTGTATAGTTTTAAAATGTAGTAATAAATTATTTAAAGATACTGATAATGAAATGTCAAGCTCTAAAAATATTTCCTTAAAAATAACATTGACTCTTGATATGCAAAGTTAAATCTTTTGGAAGTTACTGACAATAAATATATAAAATAAAGTTCATGATACAAGCATCATTAGTATGTTAATTTGTCTAATTAAATTATTATGAAAATTTAGTATGCCCACAAGCCGAACTAAATAAAATAGGCAACATCTTGTATTTGAAATAAAACTCAAACTAAACATGCACAAATTAATTGAAAAATATGTATTTCAATAATTGTAACTTTAAATAATCTTTCCTTTAAATGTATTGAAGAAGAGATAAATTTATATATATACAAATTTAAGTAATTATCTTATTGAATAGATAATTACATAAATTTTAATAATTTAATTGTTAAATTAATGATTTATCATATCTCATCATTATTAATTATAATTCAAATAAATATAATTTTTCAAATAGATTAAAACATAGTATTATAACATGATAGTAATATGAAGAATATAAATATCTTTGCCTGAAGACAAAATCAGTTATGCAGAAACTTTAATTAACATAGAGTCTATTTTTGTAAACTTTAATGAGTGATTTCAGATATAATCTTAAAGTTATCATTTTTCACTTAAATGTGCACAAATATTTACCAAAACTAACAATATTCAATACATATTTGTCATTTTAATATACAATAGTTTAACTTTACAGATAATTAAATAATCAATTATCATGCTTTTATTTTAGACAAAATTATATGCAAAATAATTTTGGAACATATAAATAAATGATAATGTTATGAATAAGTAAATATCTTTGTTTCTTCATACTTTTTTGTGTACATTTAGATTCTATAATTTTTATATTCAAGTTATCCATTTTCTTTATTTTTGCCTTAATTATAACATCGGAAAGTCTTTTTAAGCATCTTTGATCCTGTAATGTTGTTATAATTTTAAAGTGTAGGAACAAAATCCAATGCAAGCTTACATAGTAATAAGGCACTATAGATGTTATTAATTTTTACAAGTTGAATCAGAATAGTTATTACATATATATATATATATATATACACAGCTAGTCTATGAGAAGAATCACTCACTAGCTTTACAAATGTTTTATCCATGTTTCAAATAAATTTAACTTCTCTCACAAATCTGCTGCATATTGAGTATTTGTTATATGCAGAAATTTGTTCATAACAGTGAAACTTAGACCTTAAAAATAGATACATTTCCAATGTCTTTCAAAACAAAAGCCTTTAAACTGATAGCAAAATCTGTTTTGTAAGAGATACATACAATATATAAAATTTTTATGCATTCTAAACAGCAAATATATGGGACAAATTTAATTACTTTTGTTACTGGCAATTTTGTAACAAACTGGGAGTTTATGACCTTTAATAAAAAAAATAATTAATTACTACAGTGTTAAACATTAATATAAATCAAATTCATAAAAGAATTATTCCATTAAATTAAAAAAATGATCAACATTAGGTTATTTCCATAACTTAATATCAAAAATTAATAACAATCATACTGTATTCAAAATAGAAATTACAGTATTTTTGGTTTCAGTTGTAAACATAAATACTGATTCTTTAAACTAGAATAAAAACATCATAGAATTCATTCAATATAAATTAAATATATTGAATGAATTAAAGCATATACTAATGTATAAATACTGAATTTATTTAAAATTTTACTATCAGAAAAAAATATTTAAAGAATATTTAAACAGCATACCGAATACATTAAAGTCTGTAACAATCTTGTGCCAGAAACTCCAACCAGCCAACCTGTAAATGAACTGCCAAATTATTTACTAGTCTTACAACAGCTCAATAATAATTCAGCAGTTCATTTGCAGGCTTTGATGTTTAAAGAATACAATATAATTCTACGAGATCACTAAAATTACACATTTGATAAATAAACACAGTTCATTTAAACAGTACAGACAGATATATAATGTCTGACCATATAAAACAGAACACCACTACATTAGAAATATATTTTTTACAGGATTCTGGAAAGGAATATAATGTCTTTAACAGTTAAAATATACCTGAAAAATAAGATAGAAATAAATACTTTAATAATAGTATATAATTTTTTATCTTAAACTCAGCAGCAATATTTTAATTTTGCTAATAGTTATAAAAATTATAACACAATTTTTGGTACCTAGTTATCCTAGCCTTAACAGTAATTCATAATTGATTTTCAGAATAAGTGAAAAAAATTGATCATCTTTAGCAGAAACTTTATTAACTTACAACAAAATAGAGTACATTAATACGGTAATTAATTAGTATTTTCGGAAAAAGATATTACCACGAGATTTTCGAACCCAAATTCCAATGATAACTCTAATTCGAAAAATGCGAAATTGTAATTTCAGTAAGATTAATTCATTAAAATAAATGTTGTGTTCGATTTATTTACTTAATCACGAATTACTTCTTACATTCGCCTTCATTTGAAGATAATTAGTATAAAAATATGCTTGTACAATGGAAAATGTCAATTCATCGAAAAGTGTACACTCACCCCATAAACCAGTCGACTGTATCACGAAGATATTCTGGTAGTTTATCCAGTTTGGTTGTTTAACTTACTGATTTATTCAACAACTATAATAATCCACGTTTAATTTGCAAGCGAAGATAGCCAAAGTACTAAAATGTTACAGTAAACAAAACAGCTGACATGTTGAACTTCTTCATCAACAAAGCTGCACAGTGCCCTCTAGATATTTTATTCCCGTATTTTTACCTAAATATTAAATTTAAAAAATAATCAATAAATTAATTAATTTAACAATCAAAATAATATTAATAATTACTAATTACAAAGTAATTTTTATATTATATACATATTTATTTTAAGAATTTTATTTATAATACCGTATTTAATTAAAAAATATACAGTAATATATATTTAGTCCGTTCGGATATGTCAGGCCCCGTCCCTCACCACCCGGTCGCCCCATTGTGGGCCTGACCGAACCCATAATGAGCCTGCTAAAAGAGGCCCTCTTAGTGCCCACAGGGTGGAAAGAGTAAAAAAAAAAATGTATTTAGACAATAATATTTAGGTATATTCTTAATTCTATAATGAAATTGTAAAAAATAAATGCAAATTTCATACTGGTGTTAAATAATAAGTTTATCTTTTTTTTTTATTTTTTGTGAACCTATGAATAAGAACGACCCATGATAGAGACGTTCCGATCCGAAGAGATGCGGACTGGGGCACAACAGCTAAATTTTGTTGAGAGTACCCAATGCCTAAACGTCCTAAAAATTTGCAGTTTAAATAAATTTTCCTATTTGATCAAGAAAAAGCTGAAGCCACAAGTATGATTTGTTTATCAACTTTAATTAAGCAAATTACTATGTTTCTATTTCAATCGCATTTTTTAAATACGTAAAGATATTATGTACGATTCTCTACGTAGCTCATTTTTAAAGACTAAATCTGTAACCGACACATGCTAGTATGTTTACAAAACATTGATGATCTGGAGTTCCAGATTGTTTTTTCAAAAATAATTAATTATTAATTTTCATTTTTTAATATTTCATTTTATTCCAATCTTGGCCAGCTCTTTTTAATCGGTAGCGTTTTAGATTTTCTCACATGCTTGTAATACGAGCACATTTAGTCTTGAATCTGTCATCGTTGATCCTAAGTAATTTATCCTTTTTCTTGTCGATTATTACCTGCGACAGTTGTGGAGATATTGCATAACTATCATGCATATGCGATTCCCAAATGATAGTATTTGCTTTTTCAGTTCTGATGTTTTTAAAATTGGAACTCGTGGTTTTATCTTCAAGGGAATGAGATACATCGGAAAGTATTTTCATCTCTGCCATGATACTGCCAGTGTCGAAACTTACGTTTGATCTGGGAAAGAATTCTCAGTGCCTCTTCTATGAGACCAAGTGACATTCTTGCCGTTCTGTAGGTGGGTGAAATGTAGCTTATAGGTTTTATCTTAATAAAAGTTTAGATTTTTGGCCATATTGGGCAAAAGGCCATGAGTAGTGCGACTTTCACCTGCAATAATAAATTAATTAACCCTGGCTTCGTTCCACAAAATTCAGATTGATCTTGGGTAGCAAAATATACTAAGGCCTTATTATTACGTTTGTTGCATGCCTCATGTTTTGTGTTGATGATGTTCTATGTTCCTGCTAGCATGACCGGCCCGAATGAAAGCAGCTCCCGGGGCAAAGTTGACTTACCGGCCCTTAAAACAAATTTTGTACAACAGAATAATAATTTATTGCATTTTGGTATTTATTACATTGCACAAATTGGTATAGTAAGTATAAATAGTTAAATTATTTTAATTAAATTAACATTTCAATCACACAAATATCGTTAATAAATTAGATAACAAGAATAATTGCTTCATATACTTATACAATTTGGTATGTGACTTACTAGAATAAAATTACAATATATGATCTTTGTTTCAGTTTCTTAAATGTTTTATAGCAAGTTCGTTGATGTCGTTATAAAATTATGATGTCATCATAATTTAGTGTTTTGGCTAAATTGGATTCAATAGATAAAATGGCTAACGGGTAAATCGTCTTTGACTAATGCTAGATTTCAAGTAATTTTTTATTATTTTTAATCTTGAGAAAGATCTTTCTGCAGATGCAACGGTAATTGGTAAGGTTAATACAATTTTCAGAACTAACAAAATTTGGATACAATACAAATAAATTTTTAAAAATACTGTAAATTTTGTAATATTGTAAAATCCTGGAAGGCAAAACTCGACGACAAATTTTGGTTTCAATAAATAAATCAATGCAATTAATATCATCTTGCTAGGTCGCATTTAAGTCTTTGCAACATTTAAGATCGTCTTCAGTCAGTTTTGAATATTATCCGAATTATATATATATATAAAGAAGATATGATGTCTCATGTTCGTGATAACTTTCGAATATCTTCTTAAAATAAATAGTCGCACTATCGATTATGATTAGAAAATATTGAATTCGGAAATATTCTTCGCCAAAAAAAATTCGCTGATCGGTTCATTCATAACAAAATTGTTTTGTTTTTCGTCCAATTCTTTAATTCTTAAATTCAGGTGTCACTTTCCATTCTTCAGCTACTTCCTTTGCAGTTATTCAAGATTTGAATCCTGATTTACGTAACTTTTCAATAAATTTTAAAAGGCCTTTTAAAGGTGAATTTGCATTACCGATATCTATATCGGCATTTTCAAATATCTTGCTCACAAAGTTCACTTAATTCAGGATGTCATACCAAACGACGAAACTTAATAAAAATTCAAATGAAGTAACTTTATTTTCGATTGATTGGATTTCGGATTTCGTTTTCGTGTCACTGTTATGTTCATAAAGGTATTTCAAAGCTAGAGAAAATTGTGGTACTTGGTATCTCACAGATTTCACATTGTCGAGGCAACAATCTCATTACGTTTTTGACAGTGGTTTTGGAGTTAAATGTTTGACATGCTCTTTTAATAACTTATGTCTCAGCGTTGAATTTGCAAAACTATATACTTTGTAAGGTCCCAAAAAATGAATTTGCAAGAGAAGATTATTTTGAAATGTCTCCAATAACTAAATTCAAATTATGACTTCCTCATACACAATGGTGTGACATGTTTTTTACTTGTGTCAAGCCATTTTGTATGATAGCCATTCTAAATTTATCAGTTATAATTTCAGGCCAGGTACCAGGATCATATCGACAAAAAATCCTTCGTCTGTACGTTTCCCTATGCTTCATGATTATCTTCTGGTTCTTCAGTTTTCATATCATCGCTTTTCTTTTCATTAAAACGAGAACTGGCTTTATGATGATCAGGATCATTTTCGTGGTGTCGCTCGGCGTAATTTCATTTTCACAAGTTTGATCTTCCAATAACTGTGATTTATGCGTTTCTTCAGTTGCACATTTTCGGTTTTTAAAAATTTTGAAAGGAAACTTCTCTATTTTACCGCAATTTCTTCTCTCTTTTTTCTTCAATTTATCAGAGCCACACAAATACTTTCTACATGCATCTCTGTCTCTACTAGTCATGAAAGTGCCTAAAAACAATATTATAAAACACATACAAACACTATAAGAAGTATAGATATCGTAATACTAAGCTCATCCAGAAAGTAAGTAGGTCTACCGTTTGGGTATTAAAAAAGATTTTCAATTTGTTTTCATTCGTATTTTATTACAGAAAAATCTACATACCTTAAACTACTTTTCGACATATTTACCATGAGAATTAAGGCATGTGTTATACCCTTGGCACTAATTGCAACATACCCGCTTTGTAGAATTCGGCCGCCTGCGACCTGAACCAGTTCTGGACGTTTACCTTGATCTCATCATTACTTGCAAAGTGGTGGCCGGCAAGAAATTTCTTGAGACGAGAAAACAAATGGAAGTCGGATGGAGCTAGGTCCGGACTATAAGGAAGTTGACAGAATTGTTTCAAGTAAAATGAATCAACAGCGTCGTCGTTACGCGTGCGGTATGCGGTCGCGCGAACACAATGCCAGAAGTCACAGCGTGTGCCGTAACTTCTTACAATGTCTCACAATACGCTGTAGATCTCATCACCACTTTGCAAGTGATGATGAGATCAAGGTAAACATCCAGAACAGGTTCAGGTCGCAGGCGGCCGAATTCTACGAAGCGGGTATCGTGCCAAGATATATGACATATGCCTTAATTCGCATGGTGAATACGTCGAAAAGTAGTTTAAGGTATGTAGATTTTTCTGTAATAAAACACAAATGAAAACAAATTGCAAATCTTTTTTAATCCCATTTAAAAAAGTGGGACTTAAAATCTCACTTCTCGGACACCAGTGTAAGTTTGCCGACTTTTTTATTAGTGTCGACTCGCCGAGAGCGTCGCGACGCTCTCGGCGAGTCGTCGCTAATAAAAAAGTCGGCAAACTTACACTGGTGTCCGAGAAGTGAGATTTTAAGTCCCACTTTTTTAAATGGGATTAAAAAAGATTTGCAATTTGTTTTCATTTGTGTTTTATTACAGAAAAATCTACATACCTTAAACTACTTTTCGACGTATTCACCATGCGAATTAAGGCATATGTCATATATCTTGGCACGATACCCGCTTCGTAGAATTCGGCCGCCTGCGACCTGAACCTGTTCTGGATGTTTACCTTGATCTCATCATCACTTGCAAAGTGGTGATGAGATCTACAGCGTATTGTGAGACATTGAAGAAGTTACGGCACACGCTGTGACTTCTGGCATTGTGTTCGCGCGACCGCATACCGCACGCGTAACGACGACGCTGTTGATTCATTTTACTTGAAACAATTCTGTCAACTTCCTTATAGTCCGGACCTAGCTCCATCCGACTTCCATTTGTTTTCTCGTCTCAAGAAATTTCTTGCCGGCCACCACTTTGCAAGTAATGATGAGATCAAGGTAAACGTCCAGAACTGGTTCAGGTCGCAGGCGGCCGAATTCTACAAAGCGGGTATGTTGCAATTAGTGCCAAGGGTATAACACATGCCTTAATTCTCATGGTAAATATGTCGAAAAGTAGTTTAAGGTATGTAGATTTTTCTGTAATAAAATACGAATGAAAACAAATTGAAAATCTTTTTTAATACCCAAACGGTAGACCTACTTACTTTCTGGATGAGCTTAGTATTACGATATCTATACTTCTTATAGTGTTTGTATGTGTTTTATAATATTGTTTTTAGGCACTTTCATGACTAGTAGA